GTAACAAGGAAAATAGCAGCAAGGAGAAACAAAGAAGTGAAGTGACTTGCCCAAGGTCACTTGGCATTTCTCATTTCTGTCTCCCAGTGCACACGTTTTCTCTTCCTGGAATAAAATGGGTGAATCCTGCAAGGCAAATCTCATTTGTTATGAGTAGTCAGGTGAGAATTCTTATCTTGAAGTTTCAGGAGGTGCTGGTGTTGCTGCCACTTCAGTGAAAGGAACATTTTCCTTAACACATAACAAGAGCTGTAAAATAAAAGGTGAAGTGAAAAATGGTTCAGATACTGTAACTTTCACAATTAGAATCCAGTACTGAACGACAGGAAGTGGAGAACTTGCTGAAAATGGGGAAATTCCCCTTTTGTGCTTTTGAAACCGGAGTTGGTCCTACTATTGCCAAATAATTAACACAGACCAAAAAGTAAAGAAAGAATGATTAAGTTAGTGTCTCTAATTTTAGCTGAGAAAAATCCCAATCCATGTTTTACCATGAAGAAATTGGCTTCTCTTTTCTCTTCTTCCCATTGTTAGTGTCCAAAACTGACAAAACAGCCTTCTTTCTTCTCAGTTCTGGACCCTCCCACATATGTAGAAAACCCTATAGTCTTTCAAAAAATCTTATTTTTAATTAACTGAAATTATGTAAGCTTCCTAATATACAGTCTTTTTCAAAATCTATTCCCCAACATGAAGAATTTCTGCCACAGTTGCTGAAATGAGAAGTAACACCTACTGGATAGTACAGGAGTTCAAAATCAATTTTTTCTGTGCCCACAAACAAGGTTCTCTTCTGTACCTGTTCTCTTCCTGCCATATCCCTGAGCTCTGCCAAGCTCCTGAACTTGGCCAGGGTAAAATTAAATGTCAGTGTTATGTTCCCAAATAATGTTACAGCAAGTGATCTTCCACTTTGCATTTGGTGTCAATCTGTGTTGCTGGAGTCAGTAAATGGGGCAGGCAGAATGATGAAACTTGACAGGGTTTCCTGATTGTCAGCTCTGGTCTCATGATTGCTGAGTTTCCTTCCCTTTGCTGCACAAGCAATGAATTGATCACAGGTGCTGACATATAATTTATCATTGTTGGACACCTTGCTGAGTTATACAGGAGCACAGTTTGTCTTGGAGTGATATTCCAGATGTGTTCTGGACACCTCTGAATTGTTGTACTCTGCTTTTGTTTATCATCTTTGAAATTCCAAAATATAGAAATTCACTTTTTAAAATAATCTTCAACTTTGAAGAGCTTGGAGACCAGCTAAAAGTATTGGCCTGTTGGGCTCATTCATTTCAATACCAAAGACAGACTTTGTAGAATTGAGGTCAGAAGTTCCTTTTTTATCTCTATATTGTTTTATGCATCTGGGCTCCTCTTATGTTCTCTTAGTTGGGTCTGCAGTTCAGAATTTATTTGAAAATCTTTGCTCTGATGTGCAACTTAATGAAATCAAACACTTCATATTTGGCAGTGGATATTTCAAACATTCCTTGGCTTGGATAATGCATTAATATTGGCCAATCTTTTTTGTTAGATTGATACTTACTATAATGTATATGAGAATTAATCAGCAAATAGAGAAAAGTGCCCGGCTTCCTTCTTTTATTTCATGAGCATTTGCTCCACATTTCACTTGGAGGAAAAGTAATGCATATGAGCCAAATTGTGGTTAAATTTTTGGTGGCTGGGTTTTGGAGAGTACTGGGATTCCTTGGTCTTTGCTTGCTGTTACATTGAACCCATGAGAAAAACCCCACTAAATTAAAAAAGAGACTGTTCTTTTATGAATAAGCCACTCTGTGCAAGTTAACTCTTATCTGTGTGTAGGGGAGAGCCTCTCAGCAATCTGCTTATTGTGCACAAGTTCCTCTTGATTTAACAAGATGAATCAATTAGAAAGGCAGCCAGAAGTACTACCACGTGTCATATTAATTTAAATTTTTTTTTCTGCAATTGAAAACTTTATATTCAGTAACTTGTTAGATTTATCCCCTTCCCCCATTCTCTCAGTCTCTGATGCACAAAATTATTAAACTTAATTGGGTTTCTCTGGACACTACTCATTTCTCAAAATTTATTGCAATTATACAATGCCCATAGCTCATTTATTTTTTGTTTCCTAGTGATTAAAACTTAAGACACTGAAAAATGTTATGTGTATTTTCCTTTTCACACTAATCCTTTTCTGTCCTCTGCATTCAAGACACATTCTGTAGTCATGAATCATTAAAGTAGCAAAATTCATAAGTAGACTTGGTTTATAGCTAAGTATGGTAAAATCAGAATGTAGGTCAGAAATGTTGAAATATTTTTTATACGATATTTTGTTTTTGTTTCAGAGGATGTTTTTCTTAATAGTGGAAACATTCATGTATTTCTTATCTCATATTGAAGTTAAAATTAGTTCTTCTAAGCTGATGGCTATTAGCAAAATTTTTTAGAGCTGAAGTTATTAAACACAACTATTGTGTGAGCAACGCTAAGTGGTGCTGTTACACCCAAGTAAGGTAGAGGGAGATGGAGGGAGGGAAGGTAAAAGTGGCTGGGAGTCTTTGGGTTTCATGAGCTGGTGCTGGTCCTCATCATTCCCACAATTTCTGTTTTCAGGCTGGTTCTGTGTTCCCCCAGGAGAGGGAGGCTCTGCTCCTCCCAGGGCTCACCCAGCCCTGCTGTGCTGTGATTGTGCTGTTTTCTGGGACAAGGAGCACTCAGCACCAGCCCAGTAATGGCATTATGTTGGGGTGGGCTCCCAATCCTGCAGCACGTGAATTTCCCAGCTCAGTCACCTCCATCTCCAGCCTTGGTTCCAAGAGATGCCTGAAGTCAGCTGCCACCTCTGCTGGGAGTGCTCTCCTGGCAGGTGTTCCTGAGGGCTCTCTGTCACCTTTCCTCCCCTGACTGGGCAGGGAACTGAGCTCAGTGGGCCTGTGGTGTGGTCCGTGTTAGCTCTTGTGAAGTTTTTATGCCAGGAGGTGTTTGGAGGACCTGCATGGATCTCATTTTGCAGAGACAAAATGTGTTCCATGCTGGGATGCTGCTTTGTCATGCTGGTAGGGGAGTGATGGAAGTGAAGAAGGAATAATTAATACCATTATAACAGCCAGAAGTGGTTTTAGCATTAGCTAAAGAAGGAGGCACAAATATTCAGGCAGAAACACTGTCTGGATAATGAAGCAGAACAATGTGTGTGCCAGGGCAGTGGTATCTGTTCAGGACAATGCAGAGTATGTTAGTTTGATATAAACACAAATCATGCAGAGCCTCTCCCAGCTGAAACTGCAGCAAAGTTATTCAAAGCAAATATATGCAGTGGCTGAACTTCCTCTAGCACTTTGTGAATGGAGTTCAAGTGAATAGAGTTTGGCCTGTTTCCAGAAAGCTGGGCTTCTGTTTCCAGTGCTGGCAGAATGTTTGGGAAATAAGCTTGCATCTGAAATGTAAACATGTCCTTTAGTTCACCAGACTTTTGAAATCAGCTAAAGGGAGTCGAAACAATTAAATACTGTGGGGTGGAAATATGGTGGTTGGAGATACTGTAGAGAGAAATGATTTGAAGTGTTCATCTCTTTGGAGCTTCTTTGTAGGCAGAGATGGGCCTGCAGAGTGTTGTCTTTCTGAGGAGCCCACAAAATTCCCTCCATAAAATTACCAATGGTTCTTGCTCTCAATGTTAACAGGGGACAGTAAGTTAGAATGCAAACATTTATGTCTGGAAAGTTTCATCATCATCTTCCTCTTCTAATCTTCATGGTGAAAGATGGGTGAAAGCCAAGGCAAACAGCAGCCATCTATTTGTAAGCTTTTTTAGGGATCTTGTTTATGAGGAATTGCTATGGGCATTTTTATCCAAATCTTGCTCACATGGCAGTCAGAGAAAACTCTTTTGATCTGAATGGGAATATCAGGCTTCTGATATTTTTATAAGTTATATAAAATATTGCCTTTCCTCTTAGATATTTCTTTGAGCAAGTTAGAGAAATAAAATTGTTCCATTTCTGTCATCCTTTCCAGCTGAAGCCCTCTAAGTGAACTAGTGTGGATTTGGCCTCAGAACAGCCCTTTAATTCTGGTAGCACTCATCTCAGCATTATGGATGGAGAGGTGAGAGAAGCTACTTGACATTCTCAGGCCAGAGCTGTACAAGCACCAATCTCCTCTTCTGCCACTGTTCCCACAATTCTATTTTTCTCCTTGACTATAACGTGTCTCTACCAGCAAGCTGAATTTTTTCCTCCAGTATGAGCTCTTGAAACAGCTGGATAAAGCATCTCAAAATCATAACCAGGCCTGAGCTGCACAGACTCAGCACTACATGACCTTTAAGTGCTGTCAAGGAGTCTTGCAGAGGAAGCTGATCGGTTTGCCTGGGTTTGCAGCAGGAAATAAAAGAGGTGTATTTTGGTGATTATTGGACATGCCACACTCTCCCCAAGTTCCAAGGAGCACCCCACTGCACATGCTTATTCAATCTGTCATCTTCCTGGAAACTCCCTATTCAGATAAAAAATCCCTTCAGCTTAAAACATGAAACAATATCCTTTACTAGTGCAAAATGAAAATTAAACCTCCCATAATTAATGCCTCCTTGATTTCAAACATTTTTTTTATGCATCAGCAATCATTCAAGTGTCCCATGTTTTCATTGTCCTCTTGCCCTCTGGTGGGGATTTTTCTTTATTTAAACACGTAAGAAATAACTTTTCTCTTAAATCAGGTTATTTGGTGTCATTAGATGATAATCAGATGACAAACACTACAATGGTCAAAATGAATCAAGATCTTGCTTCAGTCACTGGAAACACAAATAACAGTTCTGATGGGTTAGGTAGTACAGGAATATCTGGCTGAAAACTTGGGTTTTTTGGCTGTGAACCAGTTGTGGATGTGATTGCCTACAGAAATGTCTAAAGCTGCTGATTGTCTTGTCTTACCCAAATTTATCCCATGGACCAATGAGATTAATGGGCTTGAACTCCCCACCATTCATTTTCCTAATAGACTTCTGTTACCTAAGATTTTATTATCACTTCTTCCTGATACCAAAAAGAGAAGTCCAGCTACATTTTGTATTAGAGTTAGCTGAAAAGCTTCATGTGAAGTTGTCCACACCTCAGACTCCATCCCCTCTGAGAATGAGTTTCCAACACTCAGTTTTCATCCAATGTCAAAATACCAAACTCTTCACTCTGTCAAGTGACATCCTCTTCTCCCTTTGTATTGCTGAGCAAACTTTCACTGAAGCAACACATGGGATCTGTAGTTTGAGAGCAGAGGAACAGAAAAAAATAACCTTACAAAAGGACCAGTTTTATTCTAAGGTGACATATGAAATGCATGATCATGGGCACTATAGCATTTAATTTCCTGAAAGGAACTAGAATTTGATAACACATAATTGATTACAGTTTGTAAAAGACTGCTGGGATTGACACTGTTTTTTTATTTTCTTTTTAAAGCTGGTGACTAACTTGTTAATCAGTCATATCATTGTGATTTACCCTGTGTATTCCACAGCTGTGGGATTCAAGACGTTTTGGATGCCTTTCATCAAGATATTCCACTTGTGTTTAGGTCATGGAGAAATCAATGCACATTATGCACCTTCTTGAACATACAGAAGAAGAGGTGTTTCAGAAGGGATGAGAAACACCATTGTCAAGTTCTGGGAAAAATGCTGGTATCGTGGAAAATATGTTTTCTGTAAACAGGATAAAACCCTCACAACGTGGAGGCTTTGTTGTTCTTAAACTGAAAATAGTGATGAAGCAATTGCTTCTGGTTAACTGAATGTTTTGTTTCCATTTCAGGATTTTATTGTTAAGTCTTGAGTTGTTTTTGTTTTGGTGTTTTGTTTTTTTTTTTTGCTATAATTAACAATTTTCCAAATACATTTCATATCAAAAGAAAGAAAGGAACACATGCTTTCAAATATGTCAGAGTTACTGCTGTTATGTACAGAGCCTCTGGCAGCATGAGACACCTTGAGCTGAAGTTTCTTCAGCTGCAAGTGGGCACATCTGTAAACAGGCAAATGCTGTAGCCACATGAAAAGGGTTAAGTAGGAGGGAAAGAGAAGGAAATTTTGGCTTGGCTCATGCTTATGTAAAAGTTGTGAAAAGTTTAAGTCCTCCAACACAGACCTTTAGAGGCATACAATCAAATTGATTTCTATGCAGGGAGAGCTGCCTTTTGCATGGAGGAGATGAGCACATGCTTCATAGCACAGGAGGAAGAGGGAGGATAACTGGCAGATTTCTACTCTGAACCTGATCCTGCTGTGACACAGTGGGGTGCCCTGTCCCTTGTTCTCCTGCTGAACAGTGAGAACTCACACAGATTATGGGAGCCAAATGTCTAGAGCAGTGGAATGTGTAATTACCTGTGCAAACCTGTCTTGGATTAACCCAACAAACAGCTGAGTGCTCAGAGCCTCTCACCCACTCCCCCTGCCCCCAGTGGGATGGGGAAGAGAACAGGGTAAAAAACCCTTAACATTCATGGCTTGGGATACAGATTAATAGGACCAATCCAAGCAGGAAAATAATGATAGAAATGAAAGAAGAATTAGAACATACAAAACAAGTGGTGCCTAACTCAGGCGCTGACCGATCCTGGCCAGCTTTCTTCTGTCTGGATGCTGGGCATGATGCTGTGGGGCATCCATGGGATCCCTTCCAACCCAAACCACCCTATGATTCCATGGGTCTGTGCTGCCTCTCCCTGAGGCCACCGTGCCCAGCACATGGAACCAGTCCCTGTGTGACATCACCCCAGCAAGGGCTCTGTGGGTGCTGGTGGCTCACTGCAGGTGACAAAGCCTCGCTCCTGGCACTGGCAGGTGCCACTGGCATCACGGCTCTGCTCTGCCTCCCCCCATGGGACACCTGTGGGTGAGTGGGAGCTCTGGCAGCTCCTCACTGCTGGGGTGGGGTGTGGAGAAAAGGCCTCAGGTGCTGCTCAGCAACACCTGAAACATCGGTGTGCTGTTAACATTTTTCGCCTCCTAAATACAAAACACAGCACCGTGCCTGATTCTAGGAAGAGAAGTCACTCTATCCCAGCTGAAACTAGGTCAAACTATCAGGCAACATTTTAAAAAAGAAAAGGAGGAGATATTGATTCAGTGCTGTGCTCCTGCAGGTTGCAGTGGAGTTTTTCCATGAAATAAAGTCATGGCCTGTGGCTGCTCTGTTTTGCTGCCACTGGTGAGGCAACGGGGTAAGGCAGAGAGATGGGTTTATATTTGTTTTTCTTCTGTTAAAATGAGATTTATCCTTAAGAAAATTCTCTAATACTAGGTTAAAAAAGCATCTTGAAAATGATGAAAGTGAAGCAACTTGTGAGATAATATTCACCTCGCTCTCTCACTGATGTTACCACTACAGTTAAATTCAATCTCTCGGGAAGCTGTGTCCTTGTAGTAGTGTGTTTTAACAACAGATTGCCCTGGGTTAGTAATGAAAATGTTTCCAGTACTACTGTGTTTGGGGAAAACTGTTTCAACAGTGCTACAGAAAATCCCCAGCAATCCTCTATGGTCTCCCGTGGCTGAGGTACACAGGTGTTATACATACAATATTAGTCTAAATTTGGTCTTTGGTGTGTCCTTAAGGAAATGAGAAATGAGATTACAGCTACACTCAGTATGTGTGTGATAGCCTAACACCTTGCCCCATAGGTTTTGAACCTAGGGTTTGATTTAAGCCATATTTGGTGGAAAGTGGACATGTCCAAAGTATTTAAGTTCATCCATCATTCTTGAGGTGAGTCGATGCTGATGGGAGGGCAAGACCTTAGAAATACTCTTTGCATTCTTCCCAGCCATAGGAAATGGTGTATTTTCAGGTTATTAAACATAACCTGCAGGTTAAAATCTCCACAGAAAAAGATGACCTACATCACCTCCAGCCACATATATCTTTACATGTGATCTGCTAAAAAAAAATAAAAATGTGTAGTTGTGACTTAAATATCTTATTCCATAAAGCTGGATTAAAAATAGTGAGAATGTTATCAAAAACTTCAAATCAATTTATCTGGTCTTTTTTCTTTGAAATTCTAAATGGTAATAGGATATTGCAAACCAGACAGATATCGTTATTTAAGTGGTCTTTCTTGGCCAAGTTGAATCAAATCCTTTTTGCTTTATGAATCCATTTTTTGATTCTTCTGATTCATTTCTTGAAGATGATCTCATGCTGTTGTATGAATAAGACAAACATAGCATTTATCTAGGGCTGATCCCTGCCTCACCCTTTTCTCTATCTATTGATTTCTCCAGGTATTTTATTCCTGTGTCAGGTAATAAGATAGTGATCTTATTAGGGGGTGATGAGAAATTGAAATACTTTGGTATACAATACATTCAAAAAAACCTGATTGAGAAATAAAAGGAAAGTACAGAAGTGAGCTCTTCTCAACACTGACTTATAATGAGAAAAATACAGAAAATCTTTTAAATCCCTCCAAATCTTGTTAGCTAACAGAGGTCAGATTAGTCACTTTAGATGTAAGGTTGTACCCATTTGGCTTTTCTTTCCCCATTGCACTTTGAAGTTGTTAAAGGGCCTGTTGGTAAGTGAAAACAGTTGATTCACTATTCTTTTTAAGAGTATTGGATATTTCTGAAGGAATTTTCATTAAAAATTACAATACCTTTTATGTCTAGCTCTAAATATCCTTGAGAAAGCTACAGAATGTGCAATTCATTTTTGTGCCTTCATAAAAATGATGCTGGCAAGCAGGGTCACTCCTCCATGTGTAGAGGCTTCCCTAAACCTACTGCTGGGAGAAAGGTGCTGGTAAATAGCTCTCTCTTTAAAGCTTTAAATAATTGAATTCCTTGGGCTAGCAAATAACCTTCTTAAAACTTGGAAATGCTTGAACCATCTAGCAAACCTGATATGAAAAGGACACTTTCTAAATAGCTGAATTTGCATTTAACTCCTCATGGCTTGATGGGCAGATCTGGTTAAAAAAGTATGTCAAGCCCAAATATTTTCTCTGTTGTCAAGTGCTTCAATTTTTTTGATGTGCAATGCCATTGACAAAAAAGAAAGCATAAGAATAACCCCAGATCTTTGGGAAATGTTTAGACAAACAAATCAGTTGCTCTCCCTGCTCACACTAACAAATGTATTGCTGCCAAAGCCTTGAGAGAGCAAACAGACCCCACTGAACAAGGCAAGGCACTGGGAAACCTGTGCTTGTCCATGTGATATGAGGAGGTGTTTGAAGGAATATGAGAAAGTGTTTGAAGGAACACAATAGTGCCATGAAACTGAGGGCAATGCCCCAAGTCACTGAGAACCCACTTAGATTTCTTTAGCAAACAAGTAGGCAATGAATCTTCTAAGTAGTGAGATGCTCCTAGCTAGCTTTGCAGGAATAGAACATTTTCCTGTGTTTAATTATTTAAAGGAAGCTGTATAATGGGTCTTTGGAGTTGTGTGACCCACTAATCAATCCGTCCACTTTTGCATAATGCATGTGGCATCAATGTTATTCCATTTCAAGATCACTTAGGAGAGGCTTTGCCAATCTGCTCATTGCTCCTTTGCAGTGCAAACACCAACACAGAGCTTGCAATGCCATTTGCCTGCTGTGCTTGTTTAGAGCCAGCTGTAAATGTTCCCAACAATTAGCATTTAGAGAAGAAGCAAGAATGTAAATTCCTATGTTTGAGTGATATCACTCAGGGTCCCTGATCTTTGGAGCTGGGGAAGTCCCTTCCCAGTGCCAAGGAACATCCTTGCTGTGAGATCCCAGATGTGAGGGAGTGCCTGTGAGCTCTGCAGGGTGGTCCTGCTGTCCAACTGGGGTCTGTCTCCCAAAACCTCCTCTTCATTAGATGGCAGAAAAACAGCCCTTTAGGACACCTGAGCTGGTCCTACTGGACTAACTCTTGCCTTTCAAATCCCATCCTGTAATCTTAAGGAAGGAGCTGCCCATAACAGCCCAGCTCAAACCCTCTTTTTTCATCCTCAGGAAAGCACTTATTGTACCTCCAGGAGGAGGAAGCTTAGCTTTGCAAGGTGTGCACAGGATCTTGGACACAAGGTTGCTTTCCAAAAACTCAGGAAATTGTGTAGGGACTGAGAGGAGGATATGGAAAACATTATTTACAGTAATATCTTCATTAGATGCCTTTTTGTTCTTCAGTCTATTTCTGTTTTTCTTATCCTGTTTTTATTGTATGTAAGGGAAGGAGGAGGTTGCCTCAGTCCATGACAGAGACAAAGGTCTATAAATGTCCACTTCTAGAAGTATATGATTATTAAATATCACCTGGCCTAGCAAAGAGGGAGACAGAAAGTTGTTTGTCCTATGGCTTGTCTGGAACTGCCTCTGTGAGCCCCAGTATTGTCCCCTGAAAATGAAACAAAATTACTCCCTCCAGTTAGAGCAATTTATAATTGGCTGGTAAAATGTGCTGTATTTTAGCCAGATCTACTTTCTGTAGGAGTGTATCTAGGATTATTCAACCAATCCATATAATAGGATTCTTTTTCTACAACTGCTGATTCTTAAGTCTGGACTGGATAAATAGATTGAGACAGCCTGCCCTGTGCTGTGGAGATGAGTACAAGGATTGCAATGTTTGTCATGCCAAGATGCCTGTGCTGTGTCATGGATAGTCACACATCTGTTGGTCCTTTTTACAGCTGTAGTCACAATGGTTATTAATGAGCTGCATCTCTTCAGAGTTTGAAGTAGTTGGGTGTATACTTAAATTGAAGATTATCTGAGCTGTGTAGGTTTTTAGGTAAAATCTTGGTCCTCACTGAAGAAGAAGTGAAGTTTTGTCATTGACTTTGTAAGGACTAAGAGTTTACCCATTATATCTACTGGTAATGATAGGTAAGTGAACATGAGCTTTTTCATAAAAAATGCCCTGCAGTGCTTCTGAAATGCACAACACACAGAGAAATATATTGAAGGTTTAATGATTTATTCAATGAATGTAAAAGCTGGTTGCATAAAGGAGATTTAAGTGATTATTACCATCTGTCACTAGGTTTCACTGTGCTGCAATAAAAGTGTGTTTCAGATTATCAGCAGTTCAGTCATATAAAGACCAAAACGACCAGTTTCTTGTGATGGCATTCCCCAGCTCTGCCCTTAGAATTGCCTCTCCAGATGGTGGGTATGTGGGGACAGAAATGCACAAAACATGGATGAAGCTCAGCTAAAAGTTTCCAGGGTGCAAACTGCAAAACTTTTCAGGGTGAGAGGGTTGACATGGATTTCAGACAGTGGGTACATTCCATATCTAACTGTAGAAGTTAGATATCCTCCTAATCCTCTTCCATCCTGTAAAAATATAGGGACATGTTTCCTTATGTCCACCTTTTTTCTTCTTTCGGTTTTGTTGCATCACTTATCATTTTAACTTGTTTTTTATCTTCTTCCCTGGCTTGCTGAATCTTTTCTCCCAGATGTAAATACAGTTCTGGGTAGAACCTGCTCCACCAGCCCCCTTAAGACCTTCCTTCCTCCTTACTGCCACAAAACTAGAAAACACAGAGAAAGCAGATGGAAAGGGAACAAGATCATTGGCAGGAACAAGACTAAGGTGCACTCTTTCCTCTAATCTAGCTGGACTAGGTTGGGTTTTCTTGAAAAAGAACTAGCACTTTCTTTCATATCTACTTTCTTCCTCTGATTTAGAATCTGAAATAAGAAATATTGAAATTGATATAACAATACAGAAGAGGAAAGGAAATTGTTAATAATTGTGGGTTTTCCATCTCAGATCAGAATTAGCAATACAGAAGGTTAGTATTTTGCTATAAGCAAGGGATGAGGACATCAATCATATTCTCTGTTTGTGCCCTGGGAAAACTAAAGGAGAGTCTGGTTCTGAATCTTACCAAAGATTATTAATAAG